GGATTAGTTAATAGAATGTGGTGAGGAAGATAGTGGGGTCGTCAGTGTGGTTCAAACTGTATCATTTATAAAAGAGTCATGTAAAGAGGAGAATGCAAAAGTTTGTCTGCCTGTGTTTCATTCCTAAGCTGTAAACACAGACAGTATAAGGTATGATTAGGGGTGGGAATCATCAGTACAGCCCTCCGATCACCATGTGGAAATGTCAAGTTCCATGGTGTATGAAGAAAGAATGAAGATAGAGAGAAGAATGTTCGCGCCTCGGCATTCTTTTCGTTTTTTTCCCCGATAAAAGTGCCTGTGCGCACCATTCACATTCGAGTCTGTGTGCTGGTTTGTGAACAGATCTGTTAGTATTTCAGTTTTATATTAGGTTTTTTTTGGCTTATTTTTGAGGAAATTTAAAAATAGGAATTCCTCGACCAGTATGACACAGTGGCTTGATCTGACCGCAGTGACTTCGGCTAATTTCCTTTGTGTGTTTTTTTATCAGAGTTGCTTTGCAGGTGAAGTACAACTACAGCATTTCCCATTTTTGACGCGTGGTCTTTGTGCAGTGGTATGCTACTATGATGCACATCGTTTCATCAGCGCATCTGTCAGGGTAATTTACCGTTCAAAATTATGAATACGAGTTCTTTTGTTTCGAGTTGAGTGGGCTGAGCTGCTGGCTGCACTTCATTGTTCGGATAATAGGGAAGCCCAGTCCTGAAGTTTTCTTGAGCGTTGTTTTCACACATCTTGGTAACGTCGAACCCTCCCACTGCTTGTTCTCGCTACCCGGGCAATTCTCATTGAGTTTCTGTTTGCAAAATTAAAATATATTTTTGGTAGTTTCGCGCTTATCTTATCTAAATTGGTTGGTGATTAATGATCATGGGGAATTTTTGCAGGCTCTCGCAGAACTGAAAATCAACGAAGAGATTCCGAAATCAGATGCGCTTACCAGCGCCCTCAATGCTTTACTTACCGATACTGCATTCGTTAAACGTCTGATAGGTATCCATGTTATTTTGTTTTTTTGCGCTAACTTCTCGGTAAATTTTGAGAATGAAATGGTCTGCTTCAAAATTGGGCCTGTATAACAGCGCTTGGGTTCATCCCAGTAGCACCATCAAAATGAGCTCCCCTCCCCCCGTCCTCCCCACACCGACTGTACAGACGGCGTTGATATTTTTGGCATATTTCAAAACTGTGTTTTGGCATAACCTTGCCGTGATAATTTGCCGCAGTGCTTTGCTATACCCATTTATCATTAGCGCATGCTTCCAGAGCTGAATTTCTTCGAGGTTTATAGTACTGTTATGCTATAATTTATCGCGCTTTTGCCATTTGGGCTTCTGGGGTCAACCTAGTTGCTACAGTCGTCTCACTGCCCCTGGTGTTCAGTAAAGAGTTCTTTTTCACTGAGAACTGGATTATTTCTCGCCTTTTTTTTCTGATTTAAATTACTTTTTTTGCGTTTAGAAGTTCTGCAAACAGTGAGCGTGCAGACTGAGCTGCAGAATCTTCATCAGCCACATGTGAATGGACTGGGCGGCCCGAAACATCAGGAAATTGTATGTTCTTGTTTTTCCTGATATTCGTTTTTTCCTGAACGTAGGTGTTGTAAAATATCAGCAAAATAATTATTTGAAATACTTGGATCAGCTTTTAATTCAAAAAAGTCCCTGTTTTTCAACTAAAAAAAGTCTGGGCAATTTTTCTAGTCGTTTTGACCAAGTCGTATTGCTTGATGACCAGTCTGCTGAATATCCGGCCTTCGTTTTGTATTTTGGAAAGATTATTACTTTAACAGTGAAATGAACATCGTTTTTAATAAACGATTTCACCCGTTGTCAAAAAAAAACTTTTCGCATAGCTTCAGTTTTTAGTTTCTTAGGTTGGCAACATATTTTTTTGATTTTCAAATTGCCTGTGCTCACTGGCTTTTTAAAAAAGTCATGATATTGCGCAAAAAAGAATTTTTTTTTTTTGCAGTTACGTGAATTAATCGAGGAAATTTTAACGAACTGTGCACATACGCTGTACCTCATTTCGTCGTCGTGGCGATTGGATTCCGTCCCACCGTTTCTGGATAATCTGTTCACGCCGCTGAAAAGTTTGCAGCCAACAGCACTGTTCCAGAATGCACATCTGCCATTATGGATCGCAGCGCTGATACTAATTTCGCCGCACAATCTTTTGAATAGTATGTTTCTTCATCTCACTACATCTGCCTGTGGCAATAGTTTGCTTCCTGATATTTTCTTTTTTACTTTAATTTGGCATTTTCAGCGTCAAACTTTATTAAACCCGTTAATAAAGTTCGCTCCCGAAGAGTTTTTTTTTTATCTCGTTTAGCTGTCTTTTGTACCCTTTTAGCGGAACTTCCACCTCTTTGTTTCTTTGGAATTTTTCTTTTTCTTTTTGGAATTTTTTTTTCCTATCGAGGTAAGGAGGGACACCTGTTCGTCACTCCCCGTTTCTCCCCCGCCGCCCTCGTTCTTCCTCGTTTCCCTCCACGCGCAGGTGAATCGAATGCCATGGTATGATCAAGTTGATGATTATATTTATCCATCTTATCGACTAGTGCAACATTTGTTTTTTTTTATGTTTCACTTTGCATATTAATAATCAAACTGTTACAGTACTGTGGGCGTCATAAGGCGAGACAGAAAAAGTCTTTATACTTTCAGTGCACCTAAATTTTACTGTTGTCTTGCTCAAAACACTTAACAAAAGAGCTTTTT